TAATAAACAAAACAATAACAGTGCAACAACAATAATAGTAATAATAATAATAATTTACATTAATTGCACGTATATACCTTATAAGCTATTATTATTTATTTATCTTTAATATATTAAACTGAGATCCGTTTTTGGGTACGCGTTCCCAACCTCTCTACCAATTCACAGAACTTTCGCCACAACCGCATGCTTAAATATTATAATACGATGTTGGCCCGATAGCAATAGCGGTTACACAGTATAATAATAATTAAACTAAACGAATCAATCTCTCGCAATTAAATCAACGACAACAGTGGCGACGACGACCGAAAAATAAAAACAACAGAATAAAATAATAAAATGTATTGTATACGGTTTTTTTTTTTATGTTTTTTTTTTTTTTACTATTTTAATCAATATAATATTCGAATGCGCCGAAAGATTTATAATAAAATATGACCTACGGAAAGGTCTTTTCGTCCATTTTCCACCCACACGACGGAAAATCGTTTGCATTTTTTCACTCTGTGTTTAAATAACAAAATATATGTTAAATATTTTAACATAGTTTTATTAGTTTGTGCTTATATGGTATAATTAGGTTATGTATTTGTCTGCGCGTGAATCACTTAGTCAACAATGAGGAAAGCTGTAACGTACAACGAGCACATAAAAATCTCGAACCCAAATGTATTATAATATAAATAATATAATAGTAGACGACTTGAATAAACTTATACGACCACCACACGTCAAACGTGGTTACTGCGGTGGCGTTGGCGAGGTGATGCAGAGCGAACACAGAACGGGTCAATGTTTATACTCACGGGCGGCGCTAGTGGAAAGAAATAGTATAATACATTTTATTTTCATACGCGTTTTACACTATAGTTTTATAGTTTTTAATTCCATGCTTCCTAAAAACAGAGTTTTAAGAGTTTTCGTTTAAATTCGTCAGCCACGTCACTTTTATAATAACGACACCGTAGCCCGACACGACCCACCTCGTTTCCTCGATCACGCGGAACGATAACAACTTACTTATAGGTGCGTGCAATACAATGGCTTTTACCCACTAGTGACTGAGCCAAGTTCGGAGGATAGTTCGACTATTGCAACACATTTTTTGAGTCAATGTCGTAAAAAAAAAATATGGAAAAACAATTAAGATCATTGTAAATGATAATGTAATACTTATACATCACACGAAAGTTTTATTCGATAAGACACCATGACTGTGTTTAGGTCATATACTTGCCATTTCTACCATACGAACAGTTTTGTATTTAAGTGATATAACAATTATTTCCAATAGACGCAATATGTACAAAACACAATCTACAGCGCACCGATAAAATTAATATGTAAGACCCCACCCATTACTTCATCTTACATAATACATAATATTGTATGTATATAAGCATACAGGTGAACCGTTTAAATAATAAATTCACGAACGGTGTCCATTCAAACTAGCATTTTTTGAATACTCGGCCGATTCGTTCACGCAAAATGCACATTAGATATGCAAATTATATAAATACAACGAGACGGTAAACTTGTTAATTAGTAGGCCTTGCCGGTGTGGCGGCGTGTAGACTATTGCTACAGCTGATCTAGGCATACGATTCCGGTGTTGTACGTGAAGTGTTCGTACTTCGTTCAAGTGGCACACAATACATGATGAGAGAGAGAGAAAGATAGACAGACGGAAACAGGCAGAGAAACTTTAAAGTTTAAACTTAAAACGTTAAATTTCAGGGAACGTCGCGAGTTTTAAAAAAAAAAATGGATTAAGCGCAGAATTTCCTGAATACTACAGAAGAAAAGTTTTGATGAACGTACGAACTGGGGTCGGCTTTGTATCAAAATTGAATAGAAATCATTTGCGAGATCCGCCCGCTCAACGTTCACATAATGTATGGGTACTTATACCTACGTTTCGTAGTTAAAAACTATTTCGTGCATGTATATAATATAATATGTTTATCAACGTCGGATGAGGTGAACCGCTGATGGGTAGGCGATTACCCCTCCCGTTATACGCTTGAAAGGCGATATAAGACTGTTAGGTACTTTTGAATAATTTCGAATTCGATTAAATGATGTAATGTGTTTGCCGTTCAAGTGCGTACAGGGAAAAACAATTTCTGAAAACAAAACATGTCAATGTAGTAACATAATTGAAAAAGTAAAAAGTTGGTTGAACCGTCGGTTTTGTGCAAGTTTTTAATAGCAATATATCATATTACACTCGACTCATTTCGTACACTATGGCGACGGCTGTGCGCAAACTGAACCGAATATTCGATATAATTACGGTTTCTGCACGACACGTACACCGGCCAGTGGAATATTTTTATCATTATCCAACGATAACAACAACGGCATTATAATATATCAATTAAAATCCGTATAAAAAGCTCACTGTTCTGTACAACTACTCAGTTTTTCTTCTCAAAATACTGACAAAATATATAGTTCACATAGTTTAACTGACTCTTTAATAACCCACATTATAGTGCAACACGATTTACGTGCAATCTATAACTATTAACGTGAGTACTACTACGTATGTTATAATTTTTTTTTTAAATATATTATTAAAATATAACGTTGTGTCGCAATTCTAACATCTTTGAAAAAAGTCCTAGTTTCTATAGTGTTCAACAAAATTAATATAACTTTTACACGTCTAAATAAAACAATTATTTTTTTTTACATATTTTAAGATATTAAAAATAAAAGCTACTGTTGGCTGTAAAAAAAATAATTCGGAAAATGGCGTATCCTTTTGTGAATACAATTATATAACTATATAAGGTACAACGCTTCCAAATACACACTTAATAAAAACAAAACAACTGCTGCTATCAGAAACGTACCCCAAGAATATTATGTAAATATTTTTATTTACGATGTTAGAAAATAAATTATGTTTAGTGCTTTAGTGCGCATATAGCTTAGGACACGACCGAGCAAAAAAATATACATATTATGTCCTGCACAGTGATGTAACTTAAATGGACAGTAAAAATCTAAAAACCTATCCATTGACGGACACTATCGCAATTAATATCTCTACGACGGGCATTAACGAAATAATATTACTAATCATCGGACTATAATGCTTATACTAGGACGTTTCTTTTTTTTTTCCATTCGTATTTCATTTCTTTGTTGGTCGTCGTTCACCGGATTCATTCTACACGGATAAAAACCCGTTTCACTGCTGCAGTGCGTATCATAAAGTTACGTCTCATTAACGAGAAATAAAAACCACGGTTATGCATTTTAATAATATTATTAAATTGTCGCGTCTGGGTCGATTTATAATGTGTGAACGTGTGAAATAAAAAAATAAAAAAATCTTTAAAAAAAAAAATAAAAAATAAACAGCACTGTCCGCATACATATTGCGATGTGTGTTTCAACCAAAACATTTCAAATACAATCGTTTCGCTTACGAGTTGAAAAAATAAAAAATACAAAGAATAATAAAAACGTGCTGGAAAAATAATTAAACCATAATAGTAATAAATCAACGACAACGGTGCGGCGACTGTTTCACGCGCGTCGGAATAGTTTCGGTTCCTACCATATTATCGCTTGCTCTGCGCCCAGGCCAGACACGTTTTTATTTTACTCGTGTGCAAAATATTATATGGTTTAACCCGATCGTTTCGCATCCAACAACGCCTAGCCTGACTTAACCAAATCCCTGCTTTGTCAACACATAATAATATAGCCTACTTTTATTATTGTAGTTATTATTACCATTATTCATATTAAGTGCACCGTATACGTGTTTTAATAATAATTTATAATGTATACTCTCTGCACACCCTGCAGATGATCGATAAAAAAAATATTACTACATCACGGGTTCTTTCCCCTGCGTGAGTCATATAATAATATACTAATCACCTTTGTTGCTTCTTAAGTGACGCATTCGTGTATGAAATTCCATAAAATTTTAAATACAAAAATTTAAATAGCTTTTTACTGTACCAATTTACTTATGGCTCACTTAATCCCGCGCACACTGCACATTTTGTACGTCAATACGTTATTTAATAACATATCAATCATAAACGTTCAGAGACCTCGTAATAAATCATCCGTAGTGTCTATCATTTTCAATAGTTTGCAGTTTAACATGCAAACGAATCAATGTAGAAAAATAAAAGCAAAAAACACACGTGTAAACAATAATTATTTCGCCGAAACACTCGTGAATTTGACCTTGTCAGTTCGATAAGTGATTTAGGTGACTACAAAAGGTTAAAGACATCGTGCTAAAGTCCGACGGTTCATAATAATTATTTATCAAAGTGTTTTTTCAATATCATGTATTATATATAGAATGATTCTTGGTACTTTCAAAGTTCGAAAAAAAAAAATAGGTATAAACGCGTACATTATTGATTTGCGGCATATACGCCTTAGAATATTTCTCTACTCATTAGATTTCTTTTTTCATTTTACATGACATGCAATTGCTGACATTACTAGTAACAAAAGAAAACCTTTTATAAAACGTCATTGAAACAGAGAAATCACGGCGCTATACTTTGACCTTAATGCATTTTAAAACATGATGTATTTTATAAAGTCGTTAATATTTGTGGATACCACGGTTGTGATTGTGCTGCAGATAATACATTTTATGTAAATTTAACGTCGCCTATATGACTATACGAACAAATACATATACACTCGTATAGAATGCAACAGTCATAAAATCGTATTAAAAACTATATATTCCATTAGATAATATGTACATAAAATTATAGCGTTAAAATGATCGACGAATTCGAAATTGGGTGCAAAATCATAATATTATAATATATTATAATACAAGTACAAACGTTGATATTATAAAAGGTTCGAGTAGAGATAATTATACACGATCGTGAAAATTAATATTAATATTGTATTTTAATTTTAATCTGACACTATATCGTCTGTTTTTGATCACGTAAAATAATTTTTTTTTTTTTTTTGCTATGTTACAGATGTTTCGCACGCGGACCGTGTAAGTCACAGCGGATCAAAATGTTTGCGACCAACCGCGTCTCGGCCACGTGGGCCATCACGATATTGACCGTGACTGCGATGATACGGGCCCACTGTCCGTCTAACTGCTCGTGTGACGATGACACGCTGGTGGTGCTATGCAAAGAAGGCAACCTAGACGTGATCCCGATCACACTGAACCCGTCCATCCAAAGACTGATGCTCATGTACAACCGCATCAAGATCGTGGATGCGTCGTTTCAGTTTTACGGTGCCCTACAGTACGTGGACATATCACACAACCACTTGGTGAACATACCCAACAAGGGGTTCGAAGCCCAGGATAAGCTCGTCGAGCTCCACTTAAACCACAACAAGATCTCGTCGATGAATAACAAGACATTCATCGGGTTAACATCACTCACCATACTCAACCTGCGCGGCAACTATCTAGAAGACTTGCCGGACCGGTTGTTCGCAGCGATGCCCAAGCTTGAGGAGCTCGACTTAGGCGCCAACCGCATCACCCGCATCGATCCGGCTTCTTTTCAGGGTCTAACTCGGCTCCGGGTGCTGTACTTGGACGACAATCAGCTCCGGGCTGTACCCACTCCTGCATTTAAGTTCCTAGGAAACTTGGCAGAGATGCGCATCGGCCTGAACGCGTTCACCACGCTGGACGATGATTGTTTCGCGGGGCTCGGCCGGCTTTCCGTACTCGAGCTTACCGGAGCGGCGTTGATCAACATTAGTACCAACGCATTCAAGGGACTGACCGTGCTCAGGCGGCTGGTACTGACGGACAACCGGCTGTCGGCCATACCCACTAAACAGCTGTCCGACCTCAACAGGTTGGAAGACCTGTGCATAGGGCAAAATGACTTTGTAACGATCGAACCAAACGCGTTCAAAGGGCTAGCCAACTTACGTTCGATCGACGTATCTGGTGCATCTCAACTGTCTGTCATCAAAAAGGGTGTATTCAACGACAACCTTAACTTGGAAACGATTAACTTCAGCAGTAACAAGCAGCTGGCGACCATCGAAAACGGTGCTTTCATGGGGCTGCCAAACCTTCGGAATCTGATCATGCGCAACAACGCGTTTACGTCATTCGCCGAGGGGATGGTCACGTGGCAAGAATTGCAACAGATCGACTTAACCGAAAACCCGTTGATGTGTGAGTGTTCTGTGCTTTGGCTCAAAGAGCTGCTGGCCCGCCGTAACACCAGCCACGTAAACTGTGCCAGCCCGGCACCGCTCAAAGATAAACCGCTCAACTCACTCGGGTCCGACGACCTATCATGTGCCAAATACTACACCAGGCAACAGGCCATCGTGGGTGCAGTATTCGGGTGCACGGTGGCGTTCATAGCTCTCATGTTGCTATTGGCGTACCGATTTCGGAAGCGTCTGCATCATTCACTGAAAAAGACGTTCTGGAACAAGGAGACGGTGAACCGCAAAGACCTGGAGTACCAGAAGACGTTTTCGGATGACGAATTCATCGTTCGGAACACTAATACGCAACACCATACCGGTCCTCACAGTCACCAACAACAGCAGCAACAACAACAATACCATCACCATCATCAGCCCCAACATCACAACTCGCAGCAGCACAACCAGCACCACGGAGGCGTTCAGCATCACGGCCAGCAACAGCAGCACAAGCAGCAGCACCACCACCTCCAAAACTTTCAACAGCACATCCAGCAGCAACAACATCAACACCACGGCAACGACCATCACATGATGATGATGATGATGTCGCCGACACCACCGCCTCCACCGCCACCACCATTGCACCACGGCACGTACAGCCATCACAACCCACATCTGTACCAGCCACAGCAACCACGCCACCAGAACACGATGCCGCACCGCAACGAAAAACCGATACCGGTCACAGAACTGTAGCTAGAGCTTTTCGCCTCAACGCCAACGGGCGAGAGGCGATACCAGACCGCCGGCACATCCGACGGTACTACTAATGTCACTGGTTTTTCGTACATTTCTGGCGAAATAAGCAAATACGGAGGAGGCGGGCAAACGTTGAACAACCGATCTCTACCACCGCCCGGCTACCGCGTTTACCACCCGCACTCTCTCCGTCGTTTTTGCGACTCTTAAGCCCAGCCACGAATAATACACACTTGCCGACCCTATTTTACTTGTCCCGCCGCTCCGACGACCCTAATCGCACCGATGAAAATAATCCGACTTGCACACGATCCCCTCGCCACCCTCCACCACATCAACCACTGAAAACCAATTGCCACCCGATCTCCGGTTCAAGTGCTACGGCGGACATCGTGCTGTCGTCTCGATTGTGCTGGTGGCTGTGGAGAGGAAGAGAGGCCAAGTGGCCTTTATAAACCTGTTATGCATCTCTTCGATCGCGTAACATGTAAAGCACGCGCTATGCCTCATCGTAGGTACGTGTCGGTATATAGTAATATATGCCGTTTGATGAAAATTTGAAAGAGTAAAGACTGTAGTCGTTGTGTTACACGGGATACTTTCATGAACGAGTCCGAAAAAATATTCAATATAGGAAAACCAATACCGTCGCGGCCGCCGCTACCAAAACGTCAACATGTATACACATACATTGGAGAACGTTGGACACACCCACAACACATACACACACATTCTAGATCTAGTCGTAGAGTATTAGTTTAAAAGATAAATTTGAAAAAAAAATAAATTTTGTAAAAAAAGATAAATTAATCATTTTCCTTGTTGTATTCTGTTCGAATATTTATGTGATCCATTGTACGAGTCAGACGTTTTTCTAAAAATTAATAAAGGTACTGCTGTTGTAATCCAAACCCGACAATTTTTTTTTGTGCTAATAATGATCAACTTTAGAAATCGTCATTATGTTATGTGTAGCTCTCTACTTTTTATAAAATTATTATTACTATCATAATATATATGTTATACATTAATATTTAAAATAACTTACTTAACATAATAATATTACTCCTTTTATATATATAATAATATACTATTCAATACGGTTTCATAGTGTATATTATACGTCATGTTAAAACGGTATTTTTCTAAAAAAAAAAAAAAAAAAAATATGAGAAAAAAAAAATCAAGAAAATTAATTTTGATTATTAGTAGTGTTGTTAGGGTTGAAAAAAAAATATTATTACACAACTATTATAATACATCTTTGTGCTTATACGGAATGTTTTCAAATAAGTAGCCTTAGAAAAAGAATTGCACATAACAATGTTATCTAATGAAAATCTGAAAATCTGTTGTGTTTACCCGTAACGAAATGCATGGCTGACGTCGACTACACCTCGGTGTCGCATGAACTGTGTCGGTATACATTATATATTTTCCACATATCACACGGCCAAATTCCTGCGGAGTGACACACTACACTCTCCGCCGGATGTATAATATTATTCTCTTTGCTATCTATCATTGCAGTTTGATAAATGAAAAAAAAATTGTTTTAAACGATCTTTCACCGTTTATTGATAAATTAAATGATCTTTTCGATCACTCGCTTTCTAATAGAGGCCTAACAGCATTCTACATCAAGGCAATCCCAATTTCACGGTCTCACTTTCTTTAAATTTTTTGATTTTTTCCTACTTATTATAATTTGATAATTGATTTTTATACACAACGATGTTAGCATTGTTTTTTTTTTTTTTTTTTTGACTCAGCCACCCCGTTCCCAGCCCATCGCTTCACGTTCGTAATAATCTCCTCGCACAATTATATATTATAATAAAGTCTGTTGTCGAACGACGATTTGTCGAGTACTTCAAATCTGTCCTCGCTTGAACGCAATAAGGCGCCTTTATACACACACACGCGGTAACGTCGTGCAACACTGCGAACGGTGTTTAAAAATCGTGTAACCTCCACAGACGCGTTTAAAAATATTTAAATGGCCCCCCCCCCCCCCACTCGACCGCAGTTATAGGTACGTCAAATGACGTAACGGTGTAAATACATCGACGGCTACTTCGTACAACGGTTTTAAACGAAACACAACAACCATACAGGTATATAATACGCTACTATATTATAATAGTCGTGGCGATGGTTATTAGATGCCGTCTTGCATTGATTTTTCGATTGGTTTTTATTAAAGCGCGTTTAACAATTCAAAACGACCGATACAACTACACGATAAAACAAAATAATATTATGTAAACGAATGGGTCGCGAAGCATTACAGGTTTAAACACGGTTTAATGCAGTTAAAAACAAAACAAAAAAAATGTTATAATCGACTATAAAGGTCCCGGCGATAATGATATTTTTGCGTGTGCTTGTCATTTCAACAGTATAGAATGATGATCATTTTGATTAATCATCTACGCGCCCCTTGTCCCGGCGAAAACGCATTCAATTCCTACCTATTAATATCACGTTCACGTATATCTGACCTCTGCAGAATTTTTACCTACTTTTAACTTGAATTAATTACACGTAAATTTGAATTCATTTTTATTTTTTCACGCGCAAAAATAATCTACAGCGACCCTTCTTCAACGCGTTTCTCTTCGCGCGCATTTTTTTTTTTATTTTTTCAACTACTCATAGCCTTTGGCGTAATATTTAACCACAAAGGGGCTCTATTATTCATGGCCATATGGACTTCGTTATTTGTCGTTATCATTTTTTATTTTCATAAAGCTCTAAAAAAACTACTTTTATTCGTCGACACGTCGTATTATTTGGATTACAATTAATTTATAAGAAATTTACGTTGTTTTCGTTTCAACACATTGCCCTGTCTATTTTGAAGTTCACAAACACAATTAAAAGTTAACGTTTATATTCGATTAACATTACACATAAATAACAATAGCGTTTTAAAGCAGGCGGTTTACAAAAGCGATGGTTGTGAAAAATCCGTTTGTCCGATATTGAAATAAAATACGGCCACATAACAAGGCCTCTAATTATATATTTTAATTTTTAACTAGTCAATTGATATGTTAATATAATACATTGTCGAAAAGTCAAAATAAACGAACAGTCCGAGATGTTTTGAAAAGTATGACTAAAATAAATATATTTTTTCATTTTTACCTGTAACAGTTATTAATAATCATTCATTGGTGTAATTATTTTTCTTAATTTAATCGTAACATAATTATTACAGAGAATAATAGCGTCTTATCTTTTGCCATAAATAAATAGGTCACACATATATATGTATATATTTATACCTACGCGTGTATACCATATACATGATATATACATATATTATTATAGGTGTGAGAAAAAAGAATGACTACATTGCTTAATTATTGAGTCAGTTATCTTTATTTACTAATTTATTGGTTTATATCGTATCAGGCTACTATACATTACTATGATATATTTGTTTATTGTATGATAATGATAATATATTATATAATAAAACAATCGTACAATTCACAGGTAAACGAATGACCGTGTAAAAAATTAGTATTTTTTTTTCAAACCTACCTTCTTTTAATACTATTTAATAATATAATATTCTTATTATACATAATATATTATAATATATTATTTACACATTGTAAGTGAAAATCTTGATTTCCGTGTTTGTTTCGTATTATATATATATAATATTATTACCTATATTATTATTATTATTATTATTATTAATCATTATGTGTATAATATATATTATGTAAAATGCATATCATTTGTATTTGATTAGGCTATAGTTGCGAGCGCAATTGCTCGAATTACTCGAGTTACAACGTTGTATTATTTTGTACTTATATAATATTATAGTGTATAAAAATGTATAATTGTGTACTGTACAGAATGTTAATTATATTTGATGCTCATAAAAATATGAAGGCTCATTTTTTTTTATGGTACCTACTATCTACATTTAAGTCCTTAATGAGTGTTATGCACACATTGTTTCAACTATTTAAATATCGGTTGTGAGCTGCTCGCTTGGCCAGTGCGGGTACAATCACTTGACAGATCAACAAACCGGCCCGATGACAAGTATCAAAGAATATCGTACAAAAACGTACATTGTATTTGGTCGTCTACGAGTAACTATATGCTACTGTATAATATAGATACTCGAGGCTGCGATCATATATATATATATAATAATATATCCCATGTAGACCAAAAGTTACGGTTCGTTATTTACGTTGAATTATTGTTATAAAAGAATGAGAATAAATCGATAACGAAAAAACGGCAAGAGAATATAATAACAATAATAATCATAAATAAAAGTATAAACGCTTTTTTTTCGTATCATTTATCACCACTTATATAATACATAAAGTATAATATTAAAAAAGTGATTGATAATAATCGTTTTTTTTTTCTTTAAATTAGACTACCGCTTTGTTATTATTATTGTTTTATTTTTTTTTAATTTAAATTTTATGATTTCCGTTAGACCTTTTTTTTTTTTAACGATTTAGGTGCTATAGTAAATTATTCATGATATTATAGTATAATAATTAAATCACCAACAAAAACAACAACACAGACCATAAAGGATTATTGTAATAGATAACAGTCTATTAAGTAATAACCCTAAAGACGATATTGCCTGCATTAAGTAAAATAGCTTACAATAATAACAACTAGATACGCGTATAATCCGACCGGGTTAGTAACTATTACTAATACTACAGCATTATAAGTTATAACTACTATATTAATAGTATACAACTTATCTGTATTTAAAGTTATGCAAATAAAAAAATAAATAACAAATATAAATTATAAAAATATATTATTACGGCAAATTAATAAAATGTATTCACGTGTCGTTAGTTTTTAATAATTTTGAAAATCTTCACAGCGCATAGATTAAGTTAAGTAGCTTGTCATTGATTAAAAAAAAAAAAAAACCAAGATGATAAACTGGATGATTTCTAAATTTTGTACTACATTATATATATTTCGTCGGAAAAAAAATGGAGAGCAGGTGAGATAAAAATTTAAAAAACAATTAAAAAACAAACAACGGAATTATGCTGTTGACATAATCGAACCAATCGATGAAGGTATTTTCAACAATTTAGACTTGATAAAAATTATATTTTTGATCATTATTCTAATGAATAATTAAATCAACAAAACTTAATTTTTAGTAAACACGTGAAAGTGACATAATCTTCGCATCAGAATAATCTAATAATTACTCTAACCTATTTGTAAAATCTATTCGATAGTAGGTGTAAAACATAACATAGTATTTTAATATTAATTAAACTAAAGTGTTAATAATAATTATAGTTTCAAAAAACAATTGAAAATGACCAAAAGCAAATGTAAACTAAGTAGTTGCACATTTTAGATTCCGAAAAGAACGGGATTGTTTAAGTATTGATTTTACGACGATTTGAATTTTTAAGCCGTTAAATGTGTGTGGATTTAAATATATTTTTGAAGTAGTAAATAATGACCGACCTTTTCATATTATGACCTGTAATAAACGTTGCTAAAGCAACTAAAAATATATTTTGTGCCTATTAAAAATAATGAATATAGACTATATAAATATGCATTTATTTTATAAATTTCTTATATTTAATATAAATTGCACGTAATAAATCAGTAGAACTTATATATGAGTAGTTTTTCTCAAACTCTCAACTAACATTAAAAATCCAAGTGGATTGAGCATCGAATACAGTACAAGTGATGACGAATTAACGTATTATTTAAATACGTAAATACCTTATTTGTATCATTTTATGTAATAATACATATCATTAATTAAATTTAAAATAAGTGAGTATAACTACCTATAGGTAGTTATAGATATTGAACTATTTTTATAGTGCTTCTGCAAAATTTATAATATAGATTAAATTATATTCAGAACTTTTTCAAAATAAATAATCCAAAGTCCATATAACATTCAATAATAATTATAATTGATAAAAAACCATTTTTGTCTCTAAACAATTTTAATACAAAGTAATATTTTTCTTT